AGAGAGAGAGAGAGAGAGAGAGAGAGAGAGAGAGAGAGAGAGAGAGAGAGAGAGAGAGAGAGAGAAGCAAGGACAAGTGTCGCGATGGATTTACATTGATTGTCTCGATGAGAGTTCCAACTATTTTTAAACGATATTTTTTTTTTCTTCAGTACGTATCTCAATGTTGCTCACACATTGCAATGAGTTAGGCAACAAACTCTCAAATGTTCGTGCATATTAGGGATACAATATAACCACAGATGACTTAACTCATCATCAAACGTTGGAAAATGTTTGTCATACTGATTAGGAAGCCTGCAGCGAAGTCGTGAACGTTTCTTGTGTTGAAGTAAGGTTTAGCTCATGTGTGTTTATCGGTCAAGGTTGAAAACCGATGCGTGTTTAAGAACTGTTGTTACTTAATATAGTCAACTCATTTTTAACACAAGGATGCACAAAAACATAACTGTTAAGACCGGGATTTTTTTTCGTTGTAGGATTGAGCCTCACCACATCTCCCTCCGATTTCGATGTTGCGACCCCACCAATCGGCTATTTAATAGAGTAGGACAACCTCACCTCTCATAACCGAGGTTAGTGAGACCTTGACTAAGAAGGTGAGCTGACTCTGCTCGACACGTGGTTAGATCACTATTCCTTCCCTTGTGGCGAACAATAGTCGTCTTTTCTACAAGCAGTGTCTTGATACGATCACAACACCTTCCTCTCTTTCAACGGTAATGTAGTCATCTCTCCTGTGCAAGGAAAAATGACAACACCCCACTATGGACCAGGAACATTGTTCCAGCGTGAGTCTCACTACCGTCTACAAGACTTAACTATACCCTCTCGAAGCCTCTCAGTCAAAGGTATCAATCAACGTTGCAATTCCCCAAAGGACAGGTACTGTATGCTGACCTTCTTTGAGAGAATTTATTCTCTTCAAGGGTTGGTTACTCCATTCACCTTCGGTCCCATGCCAAACGTGGATTTCATACAGTTTTTCTATCCTTATTTGAGGAGAACAATTCATAAACATATGTAGACGGATACAAGCAACCACCAAGCAATTACCAAAACAATTCATACTTCACTCAACCAGGAACAAGACATACAATGATACGTCACTTGAAACATATATCATTCATTCCCACATGCATTCATTCATACCCTAGTCATACACATTTATCATAGTGGGAATAAGTAGTTTTATCATTTTTTATATAAAAGTGAAGTTCGAGGAGTCGGGTTGTTCTAAAGTGGACACTCCCATACTCCGATTGTATTGAGTACCCAATTGATAACAGTCTAAGTCTGTTCACGTAGCTTCAAAAATAAGATAGATATAATTAAACTCTCTATGCAACGACTCCTAAAGCTAAGTTGTCATCGTACTCTCATATACAACCTCAAACAAACACCTACTGTTCACGTAGATGACCAAGTATTATGTTTACTATACTATTTGTCCCTTAATGATTAACTAGTCACCAAGTGGATAATTAACTTGTATCTTATGAACCTCTAAGGGTTAAATTATACTTTTAATAAGCAACCTCATCAATCAGATTCCATACCAGATCAACATAATATTTTAATAAGATCTCTACTAAACAGTTGACCCCTTAGTTATCAAGACAACTAAGCTCAATATCTCTCATTCTATCTATTCATATCATCACACAATATGCCTATATTCGGGTTTCTAGGCTACAATGTCTTATACCTCAAGCTTGTCATTTTAAACTCAAAGACTTCTTTGTATTTTGACAGATCCTTAATATATCATTGTTTACTATCCCCAAATGCACCTATTATACAGAAGCGCATGACCCCTTTGTCATTGGAACTTCATGAATTAGTTAACCTTTTAGGCAGATACCCTCATCATCACACCATTTAGGTAGAACCTTGGAGAAGACATTTATCTCAAGTAGATCATAATGGAATCATATATCACAAAATATATTATCTCAGTAAGACAACCGTTGAAAGATAGGGTCTATCATTAGGGCGTATATTATATAAGTCCAAGAATTTGACGATCTAGTTGGACTATGTAAGTAATGAATAATAGGGTTAGTTTAATTTATAATCTTGTACTCAGACTCTATGACAAACGACCTAGTCGACGGACATCTAACTACCATGAAATGCGACATCTAGTGGCTTTGTTGGCGTGACTTCACACTTCCTTCACGCGCGTAATACTATAAGTGTCTATCCTATGGTAACTCAACTCATATATCCCAAACTATATTAACTCATTTAAAGGTTGTCGTTTTGCCGCGATCATCGTTTTACCAAACCCGAGTTCGTTTACTGAGGACCTCGGCTGGAAAGCGAGATCCCCGGCAACGGCGCCACCTGTCGCGCGCGTCGGTCCGACACCCAGACGTAAAGTAATATTTTTAGTGTCGGACCTCACGGTCGTATCACGCAGGAGTTTTATAAGAATTTCAGCGAAATCCCTACGATTGGTATGATATTACGAGAGGTACAACTCACGTCCACCTGTGGGAGCTGTCACCATCCCTTAGGTGGGCGTATCCTTGCTGAGCTACTGGCTCATATGCGAATGTTTTTACTTGCAATCGCAGAGGTAAGCCAGCCGAGGGCATTTGCTCGATCGCCGTAGCATAGGCATACGCGCGGTTGAACGCCTAAGACTGACCCGTATACTTGTCGGGCATCGGGGCGCTGATCTCCCGGACCGACTTACAAATCAGGTCGACTCGACTGACGAACGTTCGCGCATACTATGTTTTGAATATAAATAGTGTCTATAGGTATAACTCATAACTTATCCCATTTTCAAAGCAGGACCTTCCTCGATACTTAAATTATCAAGGGTTGTGCATAAGACACATATCCATCCTACCTAGTGATTTAAGCCCATTCAACATATCTCTCTTTGAAAACCCTTTAACCATAGCATACATACATGCGAAGTGAGATAAGGTTGAGTGATTAGGCGAGGAGATGCCTTCCTATAAGCAAAGTTCATTGGCCTGAGTGTGTGTGTGACCCGCAAGGGTACTTGTTTTGCTTGGGAGGCCCCACAGGGGCGGTAGTTGCCTGTGGTCGTGACTTTGGGTTTGCAGCGGAAAAACACTCAGGTAGTGGGCCGATCGGTACTTAGCCGTGACCGCGATATAGAGGGTTGAGGCGAGAAAAACAGCCAAGTGGCGGGGTAGGAGGTCAGCGACACTTAAGAACCACGGAAACACTCAAGTGGCAGTTATGCCGGTACCACGCCAAGCACATGTAGATGCGCCGGTACTCGCGTAGAAGGGCAGAAGAAGGCAAAAGTTGGCACTTTTTAGCCACCTAGTAACCGGTAGATAGGCAAGT